AGTGAGGGGCACTTACAGGCAGCAGGCGGTGACCTCGTATTACAACGACCCGCTGGAGCACGCATGGCACCTGCAGATCATGCGATTCATTGTCGAGAGCGGCATGTCGTTCAACTGTGTGAAGTTTGAGAGCTTCAAACGCATGTGGACGTTGATCATCCCGCCTGGAGTTCCAGGGATCCCCACCCCAAAACCCCCAACGTATCACATGATCCGTACCACACTTTAGGATGAGCTTGATGTGGAAGTCCAAAAGTGTATGAAACCTGTCCTCGCTACTGCAGCTACCTACGGTTGCACGATAATGACAGACGGTTGGACCAACATTCGGGGTCAAACGTTGTGCAACTATCTCGTCGGCACTACACGGGGCGCCACATACATCGCGACAGATGTTATGCGAGGAAAGAAGGATGCCACTGCWCTGGCRCAGGCTTGGCTGCGAAGGTTGAAGTCCCTTGACATCAAGCTCGCCGACATCACCGCTTTCGTCACAGACTCTGCCAGTTCGAACATTTCTGCGATGGAGGTGTTCCAGAAGGATGAGCGTGTCAAGCACATCTTCTGGATTCCTTATGTGGCAGACGTCATGGACCTCATCCTTGAGGACATCGGCAGCATTGACTGGGTGGCGACCCGCATTGCTCAGGCGCGTTTGGTCACAAAGTTTTTCAAGCGTCATAGCCACGTTCGCGAAGTTTTGCAAGTTTTCGCAACGAAGGCTCTGCTGCTTCCCGCCAAGACTCGCTTCGGTACGCATGTGATTATGATGCGACGACTTCTTCTGCTGCAATCGCATCTTATGCAGGTGGTCGTTGATGATCGATGGAAGGACAGTGTTTGGTCAACGAAGAAGATTCGAGACGACGCCGCGGAGGTCACAGCATGTGTCGGTTGTCCTTAATGGTGGGAGGATATGAGAACGCTGTGCAAGTTGTTGAATCCCATCATGGACATGCTGCAGATGGTGGACAGCGACACATGGCAGATTGGCAAGATTCTGCGTCAGTACGACGAGATGATCGCGAGTTGTTTGTCTGCATGTGCCGCTTTGGAGAAGGACGAGCAGGATGCGCTGCTTGAAGTGTTTGAAAGACGCCGCACCATGTTCAAGTCGCCTGATCATGTTGCTGCCATGATGTTGGACCCCGAGTTTCGAGACCGCACGATGCCAGATGACGAGAAGATGCAGCACGGTTTGAAACTCGCTCTGATTCAGTTTGGGTACCCGGAACATTCGGATCAGCACAACGAGGTCCTCACTGCCATTGACAAGTTCCATTCCAGGGAGCCGCCGTTCGACGACGTGGCCATGGACCAGGCAGCGAGGAGCTATACCCATCCAGCCTGTTTCTGGGAGTCGAAGGAGAAGAGGTTCCCGCACACGGCCTTCTTCGCTGGCAGGATACTG